GGGGGGGGGGGGGCAGGGGCAGGGGGAGGCAGTCAGCCGACAATGAAGGAACCACGAAAATTCAGTAGATAATAAGACGTATTAGATGGTACGATGATTAATACAGTAGGCAACACCCAACTACCCGCCCTCCCCCCCCCCCGCGCTCCCATACCTTAGCTGACAACCGGCTGAGGCCCGGCAAAGGGGGCGAGGCGCCTCCCATGACGATGGGGGGTGGTCGCAGCTCCGCCGCCGGCGCCGTGTCGTAAGCGGCCATGACATCCGCTCGGTGCCGCACCCAGCCGTCAAGATCCATCCTAAAAAGCAACAGGGACCGTACCAGAGCGGTTTTTATTCCCCCCGCCGCCGGCCTAAAAGAAGCTTTCTTCGCTGCGCGCAGCGGAGGAAGACACCGCCGAGGTGGTGGTGATCTGAGGAACAGCAGCCAACCGGGAATGCTCTCGTCCTTCCCATGAAAAAACAACTACAAAAAGAGAGCTCGCCGGGTCAGCGGGGCACGGGTGGGGTATGAAAGTGGTGCCCTCCGCCCCGCCCCCGCCGTGGTTGCTACCGCCCTTGTTGATGCGGTGATGAGTGGTCGCGGCCTTGTTGTGCAATGTGCAGGGCAGGGGGGGCGGGGGGGGGGGGGCACAGGAGGCCGGGTGGTCAGGGATTCGGGGTCGATCGGAAAAAAGACCGTGGTGAAGCAGATGCGTCCGCTGTGGGTTCCATTCCCACGCACACCACGACGATGAGCGGTGGCTTCCATATGTTCATCGCCGGTTGAGGTCGAATGCTGCTTGTTGGGCCCCTGTCGGTATCGGCGAGAAACGTGCATACCACAAGAAAAACACGCCTGCGCTGTGTCGTTGGAAACCTTTTGTCGCCCAGTCGGCGACAGTAGTCAGGCTTTAGGCTTCATGGCGGGACATATTGGGCAATTTGTATTTTGTGCACTATCTCCACGGCGTATGTTGAATGTGCACGGCAAGGCGAGCAACACATGCAGCCGGAGTAGCTCAGTCGGTAGAGCGCAAGACTCTTAATCTTGTGGTCGAGGGTTCGAGCCCCTCCTTCGGTGCTTTTTTCGTTGACGGTACAATTCTGTTCGGAAATCCACGAACTACTGTAGGCTAATACAATATTGTAACGTTAAGTACCCGATCCGTGTATATTTGTGTATTTATGCATACATGGATCGGTTTTAGATTTATTCCCTTATCCTTATCGTGATCTCATCGTTTGCTTCTGACGAAACACGCTTTGCTCGACACGACGAGACAGCAGGTCGACTTGGCTTTGCTCACCATGGAGCAGCGGTAAAAGAACAAAGAGCAGCACCCGACACAAAAGACAGCACACTTCTAAAGACTCCGTCCACCCTGCCTGCTGTTTTCAGCAACAGGCGCAGGGTACAGTGTCGCAACGTGGGTGTTGCTTACGATTTCTTCAGTTTTCCGGCTCACTTTTCACCGTTGCGACCCTCGACTTTGACCACCACCTGTCGAAAGGCAGACGAGCTCCACCATCATAGACACGCTGACGGCCAGCATCATATTCATGACCAATCCGAAAAAATTGGCGTGTCGGAGGCCCTACTGCTCTACTGCTGCGTGGTGCGGTGGACTTGTGTTGCTGTCTCCGACCAAAACAGACCATCTCACCGCATTTTTTCAAACGGCAGCTTGGCGAGGTGGCACACATCTCTCACAAACCTTCTTGACCAGCACACGAGCCCCCAATACCCACAAAGCAGCACAGCACCGGGAGTGAGCATCATGTAGACATCCGAACCAAAGGAATCAGCGCGTTCGAGGGCTTGGCGCTGCTCCTGTACTCATTCGACTGTTTTCCGTATTTGTCATGTGTGATTGAAAAAAAAACGAGGATCAACAGCAGCAGTTGAAGACGAGAGGACATGCAATATCTCGGTTTGGACCAACAACGGACAAACGTGGTTTCTGCCGCTGGTGTATCTCCGCAATAGACCTGGACGTGAGTCTGGCAGGTCTTCCTAGCGTTCGTGCTGATGTTACAGCGCCCGCGGTGCACCTGATCGATCCTTCTGTTAAATGACCCGATCTGTGAAAGTAGCAGGTCCCCCAAAAAAGCTGCTCGGCCTTTTCACGGATCGAGAGAGAAACGCCTGCATATATTTGCACGGAAAAACCGGAAACGGTTGTTTTCCCGTTATATTGTTTCCGTTAAAAACGAGCCTAAATACAGGAAAGAGAAGGGAGTGTGAACGCTAGGTAGGCCAGACGCTTGTTGGGTCAACGAGGACCACCACAAGATCAACATGCCTGCGTTGGGGCATTGGAACCTGCAAACCCCATATGTTACCCGCGTACCGGTTACCCAAGCCAGCTACAGCTGTCAGGCTTTAGGCGACACTTCGTGCTGCTTTGCACTTTGGATTTTGCAAACTAGCACCCCTTGGCGCAACGTGTCCACGGCGTATGCTGAATGTGCACGGCAAGGCGAGCAACACATGCAGCCGGAGTAGCTCAGTCGGTAGAGCGCAAGACTCTTAATCTTGTGGTCGAGGGTTCGAGCCCCTCCTTCGGTGCTCTTTTCGTTGACGGTACAATTCTGTTCGGAAATCCACGAACTACTGTAGGCTAATACAATATTGTAACGTTAAGTACCCGATCCGTGTATATTTGTGTATTTGTGCATACATGGATCGGTTTTAAATTTATTCCCTTATCCTTATCGTGATCTCATCGTTTGCTTCTGACGAAACACGCTTTGCTCGACACGACGAGACAGCAGGTCGACTTGGCTTTGCTCACCATGGAGCAGCGGTAAAAGAACAAAGAGCAGCACCCGACACAAAAGGCAGCACACTTCTAAAGATTCCGTCCGCCCGGCGTGCTGTTTTCAGCAACAGGCGCAGGGCACAGTGTCGCAACGTGGGTGTTGCTTACGATTTCTTCAGTTTTCCGGCTCACTTTTCACCGTTGCGACCCTCGACTTTGACCACCACCTGTCGAAAGGCAGACGAGCTCCACCATCATAGACACGCTGACGGCCAGCATCATATTCATGACCAATCCGAAAAAATTGGCGTGTCGGAGGCCCTACTGCTCTACTGCTGCGTGGTGCGGTGGACTTGTGTTGCTGTCTCCGACCAAAACAGACCATCTCACCGCATTTTTTCAAACGGCAGCTTGGCGAGGTGGCACACATCTCTCACACACCTTCTTGACCAGCACACGAGCCCCCAATACCCACGAAGCAGCACAGCACCGGGAGTGAGCATCATATAGACAGCGGAACCGAAGGAATCAGCGCGTTCGGGGGCTTGACGCTGCTGCTGTACTCAGGCCATATACTAACGAAGTGCCAACAATCAATATCGAAAAAATCAAAATAAAAATCGAGATCTGATTGGTCGAATATCTGCTACCTCCTGACGACGCCCTTTGATTTTATGGAAGTTCCTCTGTCTGGGAAGAAGTCCCCGGGGGAATTTTTTATCAACATCAAAATCAAAGAGGCAAGGAGTTCAAGACTTCGAAGGCTTGGAGCACCTGCCGCGAGGCCGCTGCAAAGCAAGTGTACGGCACTACCTGCTGCACACGGCTCATAGAGGGGCTATCGGCACCCTACCACCGAGACCATGGCCATTATTTGTAGCCAGAAGACTCTGCTCGCCGGCAAGCCAAAAAACGGGCCGGCTCGTTGGTTGCTCGAGGAGAAAATGCCGATCGTGACAAGCGGTGAACGGACTGACGATCAGAACAGGGCTGCGCGGCTTTTTCGGGCTGTTCCGTGCGGGAGAGGGTAGTTACAACCTTTTTTTTCCACACTCACGATATTTCAAGGCATCTAACCTTGTACGAGACAGATGGTGGGTAAAGCTACCTCCCGTCGCGTGGCATTGCTGATGCTGCTGCTTCCTCCTTCGAAGAGTTATCGCTGAAAAACTAAACTGTGAGCAGACATTCGGCGCGAACTTGAACTAGCCGCTCTCTCACGTGGATTTTTGAGGGTCAACCAAAGCGTTTTTCCCTACACGCACGATACCCCACGGTAGCAGACCTTGGGCTTGAAAGATGGAGCAGAGAGGTACCTCCCGCCGCGTGGCGATGCTGTTGTTGTTGCTTCCTTCTTCGGAAAGTTATCGGTGGATATCACAACCCGTGGCGGCCCAAAACACCCAACTTGAAGTGACCGCTCGAAACCGTTGGCATTTTCGCTTCAACACAACCTTTTTTCCGGCGCATTCGGCACCTCACGGCGCCAAACCTTGGCATTGCCCAACAGCCCATGTTCCCAGCTCCTTCCGGATACCGTTCTTGAGGCAACTCGTTAAGTATTTGGCGAGATATCGGCTAACACGTGAACAGAAGAGCTCAAAACGCATCCTAGAAAAATCACAGCTGCGCTGCTGGCTCTTCCCCTGGCGCCAGGTCTTCTTGTTTTTTTACCTCATCTGTCTCCTATCCTCGTTAACATACACGACCCTCTTTATTCAGTTTTCCACGATACCGAATTTTGATTTTGATTTTGTGCCCATTTGGATTTGGATTTTTGGCTCTTCGTTAACATTCGCCCTCATTCGACTATTTTCCGTATTTGTCATGCGTGATTGAAAAAAAAACGAGGATCAACAGCAGCAGTTGAAGACGAGAGGACATGCAATATCTCGGTTTGGACCAACAACGGACAGAACGCGGGTTCTGCCGCTGGTGTATCTCCGCAATAGACCTGGACGTGAGTCTGGCAGGTCTTCCTAGCGTTCGCGCTGATGTTACAGCGCCCGCGGTGCACCTGATCGATCCTTCTGTTAAATGACCCGATCTGTGAAAGTAGCAGGCCCCCAAAAAAACTGCTCGGCCTTTTCACGGATCGAGAGAGAAACGCCTGCATATATTTGCACGGAAAAACCGGAAACGGTTGTTTTCCCGTTATATTGTTTCCGTTAAAAACGAGCCTAAATACAGGAAAGAGAAGGGAGTGTGAAGGCTTGGTAGGCCAGACGCTTGTTGGGTCAACGAGGACCACCACAAGATCAACATGCCTGCGTTGGGGCATTGGAACCTGCAAACCCCATCTGTTACCCGCGTACCGGTAGCCCAAGCCAGCTACAGCTGTCAGGCTTTAGGCGACACTTCGTGCTGCTTTGCACTTTGGATTTTGCAAACTAGCACCCCTTGGCGCAACGTGTCCACGGCGTATGCTGAATGTGCACGGCAAGGCGAGCAACACATGCAGCCGGAGTAGCTCAGTCGGTAGAGCGCAAGACTCTTAATCTTGTGGTCGAGGGTTCGAGCCCCTCCTTCGGTGCTCTTTTCGTTGACGGTACAATTCTGTTCGGAAATCCACGAACTACTGT